GTCCCAATCTGGATCAATGCCATGAACAATAAAGTTGATTTACTAGCTGCTACTTTCTATAGACGGATTCTAGGGATTCCCAATTCAATCAAATTATCTACTATAGCCCTAGAGCTAGGCCTGCATCTTCCTTCAACGACGGCGTGGGCTCTTACTTTCAAATTCTGGCTGCGCCTCTTTTTTAAAATAAACCCAGATGCTCTCCTTGTTCACCTTCTCAAAGATACTTACCAATCCATATGGTTTTCACAATGTGAATCCAAACTCATGACTATTGGCTTATCCTCAAACTCTCTACTCTATTTAACAGTAATTTTAATCAAGCACTCTCCCTTATCAAGGAGAGACTATGGGAGTCTGAGTACCTTCAGTTAGTTTCTAATGTGAATCAGACATGCTCCCCAATTCATTTCGGTATTTTTCCCTCCTTTGGTTATGGATATTCTTACTTCCAGTCCTTGGTGAACCCCTCTATTAGGAGAGCCTTTATGTTAGCCCGACTGAATATCTTCCCTTCAGAGGTGCTTAAAGGACGATATACCCGGGTACCTTTTGAACAAAGAATTTGCAATTTCTGCGGTTTAGAACCAGATTCAGTCACACACATCCTTTGTCACTGCCCTGAGTTTAAAGATATGCGTGCTTGTCTATTAGGTTCAATAATTTCAAATTTTTCTGGCCCTCCTCAGTTACTCACAGGTTTCCTCCTTAATGACTATTCACAAAAAATAACAGCCTTAGTAGCCGAGTTTCTTACAAAGGTTCTCTATGCCCAGGGCTCTAAAAATTAACTAGACTACTCCAAAGTATCTCCTATTGTGTTTTTTACTGTTGTTGGGTTTTTTTAGCCGTGTAACTACCATTATGTGTATCTCTATTTGCTATTAATTTCCCAGTATAAGTTTTTTTTAAAGTTTCCTATGTCAATAAAGGTTACCGAATTGAAAAAAAAATACGGTATCTTGCAGCCTGAATGTTGACAACACTAATGTCAGCAGTCAGTGACACCATGCAAGGGAAAATCCCAGAGGCTGACTCCTTTTTTGGTCAGTTAACCACCTCTCATTCAAACACAAAGCAATTGTCAGGGCTGTTTTTCAACAAATGTGAATGATACACAAGAGGGTACCCTGTAGACCACTTTGACTGCTGACACTGGTGTTGTCAGCATGCAGGCTGCCCTGAATGTTGGCAGGTAAAGTTTGCCAAGTTAAGCTTGCCATCCTTGTCTTGCTAGCAATGCAGGCACAATGTTGTACAGCAGCATCAGGCCATTTCTTGGCTTTTTGAATCATGGGTACAGAAACATGTTTCCTTCCACATTCATAACCCAGATATTTTTGAAGAATTGAATTTTCAGATTTTTTTTAAAATAGGAGTTTGAATACACTACACAAAAAATCCAATAAAAACTTCCCTCATATAGAATTACCCAGTGCTAGAGGACTGCAGAAGATGAACACACGATCTGTACTATGGTTACTGGGATTGGACAGAAGCAAGAACAACTTGGATGTGGCTGTAGTTACTCTGTGCCAAAATATTTTGAATGGCTGTTTTGGACTTAATGAAATGGTGAAGCAAAGATGTAAGTACAACACGTGCAATGGGGAAACATACACACTCCTCAGAGTCTCAGGGAAAAAACTTATATTGGGCCAAAAACTCTATGGTCATGTAGTATGCATGTCTTCCCAAAAGATGTATCTTTGCCTTTTGAAATTAAAGAAAAGGGATAGATTGGAGTTAACAAAGAGTGTTACTGAAACCAAGGACAAAATCATCCATACTATGTAAAAGAAAGACAGGAACAAAAATCAACTCATTTGAAATGTAAAATGTGTTTGAGGAGAATTATAAGGATATGAAAGATAGCCAGAAAAGCGGGTGGTCAAACAAAAACGAGTAACCTGAGCCCATCCTACCATGCACATATAATAAGTGACCAGAATAGACTGTATTTCTGGCAAAAGAGGGGTGGAGAATAGGAAAACCTAACATAAGACAGGTTGACTCAATGAAGAAACAACAGTTGCTCGTTTGCAAAATCTGAACAGAATTTATTGGAAAAGACTATTGCTGGGCAGTAGGGAGAGAGAACAACTTAATACCAGATGTTGTTGGCTTGCAAGATCCGAGTAGAGCTGTTAATGATAAGATATTTGGAAGCCAATAACTCATATAGTCACCACACATCAGAAGTGACTTGATGGCACATAGCATCGTTGGAATTTTTTTTCTTAATTGCCAAACAATGCTATTGTGACAAGATGGGTGGCATGGGCACCAGTATTCTGTAAGACTGTCCACTGCCACAAAGCAAAACCCAGCAATGTCACAGCTTAAATGAGTGATCTTCTGAATATTTATTCTCTATTTTTAAATATATTTTAAAATGTTTTACACCATAAATAAAAATCCTTTTTAATGTGTGTTTGGCCAGGAAGGAGTTAAAAAGTTATCCTGAGAGTCATTTAATTTGGTCCTGATTGGCAGGGTCAAGGGTTCAGCTCTCTTCCAGGCTATCAATGTTTATGTTTAGAATGTTTATGCTGATAACCAGTTTATAAGAAAGAAAGCCAAACAGTTAGAGGTTTTTCCTCTATCAAATGCACCTCCCCATCACCACCACCACCATGTCTGGATTC